GAAGCTGGCACCCGGGGCGATTCCAGTGTGACTTGTCCCCCGTGACCCAGCTCGCTGGTGCACAGCGGGCGGGCCTGTCGCCCTAACCCCCTCCCGTGTCACTGCCGCATCAGCGTGTCCACTCGTGACTCGGGCGTCTCGGCCTCGGAGGGCTCCCAGGTGTGCTTTGGACCCCACACAAAGTCACTCGTGCATCAACATTCGGGTTTTTGTCCACGTTGTCACGTGTTTCCTCAGCAGCTTAGAGGGACTGGTGTGACCTTGAACGCGTTTGACCTCATGCTTTTTTAGTATCTTGGCTTTCCCTGCACAGCACTGATAATCTTGTGACTGTGATTTACTCCCTGACCCCTGAGACATCCGAGTGTAAAAACACATTTTCTGAATGAAATATATTCAATATCAAGTGGACATAAAATAAAACTGGGTGAACCGTGCTGTGGTGTCGCGTGTACGCTTGAAAAGAAACATTAACTGAATTTTGCTTTACACATGAAGGTCATTTCTTTATACTAACTGCCAGTCACTACATGGATGATTGTCCTTAAAGTAAAAACAGGTCACATAATGGCTCCTCCTTACACCTAAAATTAGTACAGGACACAGGCACTCCACTGTACAACACCTACAGAGAATGAAGAGCTATTCTAACTGCCTCCAGAAAGGGACACTGTATTAAGAAATTGCTTCACGAGAGGCAACGTGACATTCTATTTCTTGGCTGGGACCAGAACATGGGAGCAAGCCACAGAAAAACGTGCATGAAGTTGGGGAAATGAAATATTTTTTGAGAACAAAGAACAAGTAAAATTTCCTCCTAAAACCCAGTAACCAGTGTTCTGAAGATTATTAAAACACTCAAAATTTTCCTTGTATCCTAATGTATAAGCAACTGCTGTAACTACCAGCCCAAAGGCAATCGCCCTGGAGAGGGTAGGAAGGAAGGCAGGCTCTATACTGCTAGAAAGAGCTATAGTGCTTCCAGAGCTGCGAAATTCTTTGAGAACTCCGTAATTTACTGCATTATGGTTAAACTAAAAACCAGAAGGCTGCTGCCTGGACTCCAGGGACCTTCGTGCCACTTGTTGGCAGTTCCAAGCAGCCAGCCGGTTACGCTTTACGAACTTTCCTTGTTAATTCAGACCTCTCAGGGCATGAAGAATCCTTGCTGCTACTGTCCCCAGCTGGCACTGGTTGTCCCCTTCTCCATCCCTGACACAGAAACTGACTGCCCACACAACCAGCCCGATGCAGAACAGCGGATCATTCCCGCAAACCTGTGGGAATTCTCTGCAATTGCAGCATGACTGGGATCAGACACATGGGCAGTCACCATGTCCCAGCTGAAGGGTGTCAACTTTTTAACTGACTCCAACAAAAGCAAGACCACTTCTAATTGCACGCTTGCATTTCCTTGTGGTAGCATACCAGCCCGTCCATTGACTCTGCAATGGGATACAGTACCTGTTTCAAGTACTGTAACCAATTTTAGGCACTAAACTGCTGGAATAATTCACAAAGGATTAAATGAAAACATCGAGTTTTAGTCCAGGAAATTAAAGATTTGAAGGGATATTCACAGAATCACAGAATGGTCAGGGTTGGAAGGGACCTCTGGAGATCATCTAGTCCAACCCCCCTGCCAGAGCAGGGTCACCTACAACAGGTTGCACAGGACAGCGTCCAGGCGGGTTTTGAATGTCTCCAGAGTGGGAGACTCCACAACCTCTCTGGGCACCCTGTGTCAGTGCTCCACTACCCTCAAAGAAAAGAAGTTCCTCCTCATGTTAAGATGGAACTTCCTATGTTCAAGCCTATCACTTCCTATGTTCAATTCCATTCTGGAACAGGTAACAGCAAAGGAAATAAATCACAGTTGCTGAGAAACAAGAAAGAATTTGTAAGTGATAACCGCAGTAAGGGAAATTCACTTTGGACTTGAAGCAGACATTTCCTAGCATGAAGGCAGACAAGCATTAGACTGCACAGGAAGACTGAACTGTCATTTGCTGCAAGTTTTTAGGAAAAGTTAAGTATCTGTGAGGAACAGTCTAGGCAGAGCTGACCCTGACTTAGAGCAAAGAGAAGGCATGGCCTAGACACCTTTCTGAGGTTTTTTCCAATCTTTTATTTCTAATTAAATAATTCCCTAATATTTTGCTGTAAATATTGCACAATTATCCCCAGGATAGAAGTGGACTAGACTATGCTGAATAGAAGAAGTAGGTCAGGAAAATACTGTTAGGATATGATCCAAATCACTGCCAAGTTTAGGGGCAGTGTAGACCAATGGCATACAGCAACCACAAATGTCACCTCAAATAATGCTGGAGAAAACATAAAAATGGAGAAATGTTAAAGACTGTCTAAATCAATTGACAGGTTTAATGTACACGGACAAATTAACTTCTAAATGTGCAAGTTCTCCTGATCTTGTAAGCTCTCCAGCAGGATAAAACCCTTTACCAACTTTTTGCGTTGTGGAAAGATGAAGTTTCAAACCAATGTGTTGCTTTATCAAAACAATTTCAGACTCTTGTACTGATTAATACCAAAAGAACTGATTTCTGCACTGCAAAACACCACCTTTTTAATATTATTTATGTTTACAGTTTAATTTTGGAATGAGTTTTTAAGAGAGGCTTTATATACCCTCTTCAGGTTTGATTTCAGAATTTTTCAGCTCTTCTTCAATGAAAATTAAGACAAAGGGAACAAAATTAGAGTATGTTTAATGCATTATGTGACTGTAAGGGTTTCAAATGAAGGAATCTCATGTCCTCAGGTGCATATGGCATTCCTTATTTTGGTCACAAACAAACTACAGTGCAATCCATTTGGCATTCAGGGGAAAAAGACCTGAGCCTTTTGCATTAATAAAGCTGAAACTAGGAGCAGATGTTCCAGACTGTTCATCCTAGTCTGCATCAGTTGTGAGGTACAGGTAGAACCACAACATCACATTTTGTGAACTCATTGCCTGACGTAGTGATGTAGACAGGCTGTGCTCTTCTAATACTCTGCACAGGGGCTACATTGGTGATGTGAAGGTCTCACATTATACTTAGTATTTGAAAACCTGGAACGTCTTAGAAAACACAATCCAGAAGAAATATGACAGAAGTGATAACGTCACCTCCTCAAAACAGGGCAAAAAAAGTAGAAATAAACTTTCCTGCTACTCTCACAGTTGAGCAGTTGGCTCAAGACCTGCTCTCTGCTGGTTTTTTTATCCATACTATTTATGAGACAATGCATCACAGCACAACTGGCTGAAAGCAGGTATTGTTTTTAAGAGGTACTGCACTCTCTTGCTTTCATACCACATATACACGTTCACTATGTCACTGCCTACTCTACATCCATTTATATTAATTTCTGTATATTTTATATATACTTGTTGCAAATCAAGAACTAGGTGGAACATACAATATCCATCAATTAAGTCATGGCATGTATTACAGGTTCACTTTCTAACACTTTGGTGCAACCAAAGTATATTTATGTTCTTCCTTTTATCCTAAATTTCTAAACAAACCCTGTGAGCCAGTTCAGTTTTCAGTCTAACTTGCAGGACAACAATTCAGGTAGAGGTGCAATACTGACAAACAAAATTCAGGATGCTTCCAGTTCTTTCAATATTAACATTTACTCAGTATTTCTGTCTTCCTTTCTGAACAGGAGTAGGTGAAAACTATTTGTTTATTTTTAAATACTTTCCTATATATTTCACTGTAAACTAGCAATCTGGTGGGAAAAGGACTACAAACACGTACTATGCTGAAGAATCCAGGACACAAATGGCCTCAGAACAGTGCACAAGTCTGCTATACTGACTCACTGCATATTACACATTTGCACGGCAAACACTGCATGCATTATTCCCTATCTGCCTGCACTTCAGATACCCAGCTTTCTATCACCTCTATATATTTGTTTACAAACAAAGAGAGCCAGGCTGCAATTCTCTAACTCTGTGAGTCAGCTTCAGCAAACTAATGACTACCCTGTGGTTAAGATACTCTGCCACAGGATCAAAGG